TGGAGCCATTCGTGGTTCTGACAAGTCGAATTAGCACTGTCTCTGTGCTCCAGGCTTTCATCTATGACTGGGAATAATAGCCACAAAACCTTATATATTTAGGGAAACCTGATCATAACCAACTGTCAGAATGCTTACCATATTGAGCACTAAATATTAAAAGGGAAAAAACAGACCTAAAACACATGGTGGTAAATGGCAACTTAACGTAACAAACATCCTTCAACAGTCTTTTTTCCCCCTTTAATAGTCTTGAAGCACATTTCTAAACAGTGGTGTTCAACTTAAATATAATGAAGATTATAATCCTAACCTTATATTGCTAAAGTTTTACATTTGGAGTTTGAAGACAGTATCACAGGAAAACTTTCTCAGGACAGCTTCTGTAACAGTGTCCAGTACTGGTAGCCAAGGCAGGCCCCTCCCAACTCCTCACTCAGGGTGCAGTTCACATTGGCCCACATCAAGGAGAGGGCTGCTCATTTTCCGGATGATGCGAAACTTCTGGAGAATAGGAGCCCAAATGTGAAAAGCCCTGACCACAAGCGAGCCCTTTCTCTGCGCTGTCAGCACGGAAGGTGCCGTGCAAAGCCTTCTGGTCCATCAAGCCCAAGCGGCTATGCTACTGGCGCATCATGCACACCGGGGAACGTCGGGAGGCCACCTAGGTGCCGGCCAGAATCACTACTTTCTGTGCTATGACCTCCGGTCTAAAAAAGTCAGTAAATTCTGGAGAAAAAATTAAGCTCCTGAGAAACTTTAATCTTGGTCTCCTTTCTGTTAACTGACCCTCAGCAGTCAGTTTCGGGGTTATAACGAGCCAACTCCTTAGCCACTTCATGAACACAGAGGAGTCAGACTTGAAGCTCATGTTAATAAATAAGATCACACGTTGTAATCTGAATGAAAAAGGGCAACTGTGCCATGAGTGGTGCTTGTAAGGACACAAAGACACTGTCTTAGTTTTCTATTAAGTAACTAGCTACCAACTATACAGATTTTTTAAAAATTTTATTTATTTATCTGACACAGGGTCTTGCTATGCAGCTCAGACTCAGCGATCCTCCTGACTTAGCCTTCCCAGTGCTAGGATTACAGGCGTGTGCCACGGGTTCTGGGGCTGGCATGGCATGTGGTACCAGGGTTCAAACTTGGGTCCCTGCACTTGCCACGCAGGGGCTTAGACCGCTGAGCTATCTCCCCAGCCCTTACAGAAGTTAGTTCATAATTTTGTTCAAAAGTTCCCAACAAACTTATTCAATGTGTAAGCTGAAATCTACATGTCACGTTATAGTTTAAGTTGGATTTCTCATTAAAAGATGAGCAAATTCGGCCACAGGACTGCACATCTGTAACTCCCAGCTACTTGGGAGCCTGAAGCAGGAAGATTTTGAGTTAAAGGCAAGTCTAGGCAGATGCTGGAGGACTTCAGGTTAAAGGTAAGCCTAGGCAACCCAGTGAGTCCTGTCTCAAAACTGAAAAAATTAAAAGGATGAGGATGCAGAGATGCTTTCTTTGCCTGTATGAAGTCTTGAGTTCATACTGGGGGGAAAGCAACACAAACATTATTTTTTGTAACTTGATGTGAAACTTTTATTTCATTTTCCTTTTTTGTTGAGACAGTCTCACTATTACATAGTCCAGGCTGGTCTCAAACGTGCTTATGTAGCCCAGGCTCAGCTCAAATTTATGACCTCCCACCTAGACTCTTGAATGCTGGGATTATAGTCATATGCCACCATGCCCGGCTTGTATTTTATAATTTTTTTGTACTAGAAATTGAACTCAGGACCCTGCATTTGCCAGGTAGGGGCTTATGCCACTGAGCTATCTCTCCAGCCCTCTAGCTTATATTTTATTTTAAAAAAAATACTTTATTTTGTAGTGCTGGGAACTGAACCTAGAACTTTGTGAATACTAGAGCAGCACTCTACCACTGAGCCGCAACTCCCAGCCCCACATTTCAGGTTAATTCAGTTCAAGCTTACGGCTTAGTGATCAAGGCAAGCCAGCTGCAGCTGTGCGCACTGCTAATACCACACACGATGGAGGCTGATGCAGGAAGACTGCAAGTTCTGGGCCAGCTTGGGCAATTCAGCAAGTCTATCTTAAAAAGGGTTGGGATTGCAGCTCAGTGATCACTGGGTTTAATCCTAGCACTGACCCTCTCTACAAAAGACAGAACCAATAAGCTCTCATTTTAGCTTTTAAACTATGTGTGAGCAAACTAGCCTCATCTAGAGCCTCAATTATCTCCTTTGTAAGTGAAATAACTGTTTTATGTATGAACAATGACTTAATGGATACAGCGAGCTTTCTTTAATATGGGTTAAGGCCAGGCATGATGGCACAACTGTAATCCCACCACTAGGGAGGCAGAGGCAGGACTGCTGTGCATTCAAAGCCAGCCTGGACCAGAGTGAGACCCTGTCTCAGGAACAAAAAAAAAAAAAAAAAAAATGGGCAGGGGTTAATATTTTAAAAGATACTGTAGAAATGAAGCTCCCAAAGAAGCATATATGTTAAGTAACTAGAATGTATTTCAGGGCAGGTAGACAACTTCAAAGTACAGACAAAACAGATTCATACAGTTCTTCACCAGGAGGTGATAGTGGTACTTAGGGAAGAAAACAAACTTTCATCTTCAAAAGTCACAAATATAGACAAACATGTCAGTGCACATCTGTAATTCCAGCACTTGGGAGGCTGAGGCCAGCCTGAGCTACACGGTGAGTTCAAGACCAGGCTAAACTGCACAGTGAGACCCTTCCTCAAACAAAACAAAACAGAACAAAACAAAACAAAACAAAACAACCCCCCAACAAACAAAAATGTCACAAATACCAGAAGAATCCAAATGACTAGAAAGACAGAAACTCAAAATCACTAAAAAGATAAAAGAAACTCTACAAAAGCAACTGCATCCATTATAAACAACAAATTAGGACATTCTAGTATGGAACAAACTTAGAAAAGAACCAATCAGAGCCTACATAAATGAAATATTTCATTCACATCAATAATGAATTCTTTGTTAAATACAATGTCCATGAAAGATTCAACACGTTCTTGAACCACCAGCATTCCACCAGGTGGCTTGTGCCACTGGTGATATGAATGCACCTAATCACCTTAATAAAAGCCAACTGGGGCCAGGGAGATGGCTCAGTAGAGTAAGTGCTTGCCTGGCAAGTGCAAGGGCCTGAGTTCAATCCCCGGTTCCAAAAAAAAAAAAAAAGCCAACTCACAGACAGGCTTGCCTGTAACCGCCAGTAGTTAGAGCTGCCTTGCAGTGAGATGTATGAATTATGGCCCTTTCGTGGCCACGTGAAAGACTGGAAAACCAATTACTTGCAACACCACTAAAGAGCCTTCCACGAAAAGATCGTACTGACAGATTCTTTCATGAACACTATGTTAATAGTCAAAAATAGTTAAAAAAAAAAAAAAAAGAGCAAAAAACAAAAAAACCCATGACCATCACAAAACAAACAAACCCCAAGACCTAAGCCTATTAGATGTACCATAAAACCCTCACCTTATCCTCCCCTCTACCAGACAATAAAAGATTTTTGGCTTGTTTTTTTTTTTTTTTTTCTTTTTTGGAAGTACTGGCAATTGAACCCAGGCCCTTTTCACAGAGCTGGAACCCCAGCCCCTTTTCTGTTTTTTCTTTTTGAGACAGAATCTTGCAAAGTTGTCCAGGTTGGGCTGGAACTTGCCATTATCCTCCTGCCTCAGCCTCCCATTGCTTGAGCAACAGGTGTGAGGTATTTATTTCCAAGAATTTTATACATTAATATTGACTGAAAATTACAAGTATCACATGGAACAAAAACAACTGTTCTTGTTGAGACATGAAAATTCCACTTCTCCGGGTACTAGAACTGTTACTTCTTTAGGGCATAAAGAAAAGGGTGTTTGAGGACAAGCGTATGTCACTCAGAGTGACAAGACAAGTGAGGACTCTCAGCACCTGTCATGTCATTGAACTAGGGCAGGAGACCAAAATGCAAGATGACACTTCTGGAGGGCAAAGCAGCATCCATTCCAACCGGGCCACAAAAAGCATTTAAAAATATTACTTCCAAATTTTCTGAGGGAGAAAACCTCAAAGGGACCCAGAGTGATGCTGACATAAAGCTGGCAGGGCGCACAGGGGAAGCTTGAGCCTGGGGTCCAAAGCTGGAAATGCCATCCCAGGATTGCTATTCTATGCATTTTAGGTGTTTATTCATGTGTGTTCTGATCACCTAACAAGATGATCTTGTGAGACTCAGAAATGACACATGAAGTAGAATATATACAAATTTACATAATAAGCATCTATCAAAATGTAAGCAAATATTTATGCGAAAGTTGAAATGTAAAAGAGTCTGAAGACAGGTTATACCCCGGACAAGTGAAAACTGGGATTGGTACCCACAACAGAAACTGAGTCCTGGGGCAGACACGAGCTTGTGACCACAGGGGGAACCGAGGGCACACACGGCACTGCAGAGCAGAAGGAGCTCACACCCAGAGTACCATCAGCGTGGAGGCTGACAGGCCCGTCCACTCAGGCTGATTACAGAGGAGCACGGAGCACCTGGCGGGCAGGACACAGGACTCAGCGCTTCTAGGGAAGCAACAGCCACGATGGCCTTCATGCCCAACCTCGAGCAGGTAGGGCTTGGAGCATGACCAAGGTTCAAGGGGACATTCCCTGGCATGAAGCGAGTACTCAGGGCCTTCTAGAAATTGCCTATGAGAACTGCAGAAGCCTCTCAAATCAGAGACATCAGTCAGTCACCATGCTAGTTAGGTACTTCCTGAGGCATTATTTGGCTTGCCCTTGCTTGCTTCCAGAATTTTGTTCTGTTAGTGCTGTGGGCTATCTGATAACTTTCCAGGACATTGGTTTCTGTCAGTATGGAACAGAGCTGGTTTCTATTGTTTGTAACCAAAAACCTTAACTAAAGGTCAATAAAATCAACAATATGGAGAAAATTCACACCTACCTGGCAGTTTCGTATTGTTTCACTGTCATTAACGTATCTTCAATTGTTTTATTCACCAAAGTATTCACACTGGCAATAAAAAAATTAATGGCCCCAAGAAGAGTCTCTCCATTTTTTGCCAGCAGCTTCTGGGTATCTGCATTATAGCCAAATTCTTCCTAAAACAAAGAAGTTACTTTAACTTATCCAGTAATAAATACGCATGACCCTGAAAATCTCAAACATATCACTAATGGGAAAATACGTGATTTAAAAATGTAGCAAAGGAAGTTTTATCTTTCTATCTCAATCTTTAAATAGGTAAGAGTCTAAATCTAAATTATGATATAATAATTATTAAAAAAAGTGTAGGAGCCAAAATTGCACCACTAAATCTAAATAATTTTTAAAATCAAACTACTTTGTACTAGAAAGAATACTTTAGCTTCTACATTTTGTTTTTATTATACTATAAGCACAGCTGTTAGAAAAATATAGCACATTATTAATCAGAGAAACTATAACTTTTACAACCAAATTAGGTAATGACTGGTTAAAACTTTCAGACATAAAATAGATAGCAATTTTTTGTGTTTTGACTGCATCCTCTCAACGTATAAATATTAGCAAGACACATTTTGCTGTAATCTTTGAGACCAGCGGACTCTGCACAGGTCTATCGATCTCAGCACCCAACACAAGGGGCAGTTTCTTCTCTCTGATACACTGTCGTGGCTCAGCAGTGCCGTGGCTCACTGTACACAACTCCTTTGATGTGGCAGGAAAAGATTCCTAAATATTCAGCAGTAAAATCTTCCCAGTCTAAGTTTCATCAATTAACAAATTAATCAGGAACACATTTAACCAAATAAAAAATTGAAAAAAAAATCTGATCACATTTTATTGTAGGATGTATGTTTTAGGCTTGGAATTCTCCAGCTTTTTTTTTTTTTTTTTTTTAATAAAACACACCTCAGGGGCTGGGGAGATGGCTCAGTGGAATAAATGTTTCCCTGAAAAGCGCAAGCACCTGAGTTCAGTCCCTGGTTCCACAAAAGCAAGCAAGCAAGCAAGCAAGCACACCTCAAATTCACCTAAACAAAATGTAATATAAAGTAGAGTCTTAGAAGATGAGAAGTGAATGCCATACAGTAGCTAGAACTACATTTCTGGGCTACATACTATTTAAAAAATTACAGGACAGTAAAACTATCTTTGCTATGCTAAAAGCATTTTCCTTTTAGATAGGTCCATGGAACTGTTTACTCTGGACTCAGTCTTCAAGATTGTACCGATACTGACTGCAAATAGTGGAGATATAATTACCATAAAAATATCAATCATACATGAAAAAACTGAAACGAAAGGTAGGACAGTTGAAGATTTGAGGCACCATGCTTCTACAAGCCAAATTATACATGAAGTCTAAATATACATTACCAGAAATAAGATAGCACAAGATATTAATGAAATCATTATATGAACATGCACTTATTTTTTTGAACATGCACTTATAAAAATTAGAATCACAGAACTTTTAGAGTATGTTAACAGAATATATTAAAGCTGTACTTATTCCTTTGATAGTCATTAGCAGGTAAAGGGCAAAATCAAAAAAGCAAGGAAGAAAAACATGAAAGATTTGTCCAAATACTGCTCTTGGAAAAAATTACTGTTATTGATAAAAGGAAACTTTTTCACACTTCGTAACAGCATGCATCCCTGCACCAGATCCCTATACCACTGTGTTGATTTCTAAAAGTGCTCAAGAACCACAATGTCACACTACTAAGTGAAAATGCCAAAAGTTTTAATTTAACCACAGGAAGGTACGGACAACCTAGGAGACTGCTTTTTATAAACGAACAAACAAACAAACCGAAGATGAAATTTCAGCAAATCGAGAAGTCAGTAGAATTTTACATCCTAAATTCACATCAGAACAATTAAGTCTTAATCCAAACCACAAGGCAAGAGTAAAGCAACATTATTTTGTTTCAGGAATGTTAAATCTCACCTAAAATTCTGAGAAGAAACTATGCATGAAGCAAGATTTTAGGGCTGGGATGTAGTCCAGTGGTTGAGCACTTGCCTTGCATGTGTGTGTGAGGCGTTAGGGTCAAACTCTATTACTGCAACGCAGAAGCAAACCAAACTCCTTAACATTTTTAATGTATAAACTGAAAACTTAGTAGGGACATACTGACATAGGGAAGGCTACTGATGGACTGGAACAGAGGACAAAAGAAAACTCTATGTACTAAAATGGTTAAGATGGGGCTGGTGAGATGGCTCAGTGGTCTAAAGCACCTACTTAGAACAAGCTTATCTAAAGCACAGGGATCGCGGTTCAATCCCCCAGCACCACATGCCAGCCAGCCCCGCCCCCTGGTGGGCTGAGCTGGCCACACACACAAAATAAATAAAGTTTAAAAAAAAAAAAGAGAGAACATTTAAAAAATAAAATAAAATAAAATAAAATGGTTAAGATGCTAAATTGTGCTGTGTCTAACGTTTTTGTACTGGGGATTGAATTTGGCACCTTGCGCTTGCCAGGCAGGTGCCTATGCTGCTGAGCTACCTTCCTGGCCCTGTTCTGTATATCTTAACACAATAAAAAATTGAGAAAAAATATGAGAACTCAACTGGTTATAATAAAAAGCACTTTTTAAAAATATAGTAAAGCTGGTAACATGGCTCAGTGGTACAGCACATGCGTAACATGCGTCAGCTGTGGGTTCAACTGCCAAGAATATAAAATAAATAAGCAGTTATAATGAGGCAATGAGATACAGCAGTAACGACACAAATAAGCAGAAGACTAAAGAGAGCAAAAATAATGTGTGTGTGTGCGTGTGTGTGTGTGTGTGTGTATTCATTATAAGTAAATTCATTTTTTGGTATTAAAATAAGATGAAGTGTGACTTAAAATTAATTTAGTTGATGACAAGTCAATTATTCTAGTATTCTCAGTTGTTTAGGTGTGTTACACATTATAAATTGTTTTAATGATTAGACATAAACTAAACATAAAATAAAGATGATTTACAACAAGGATAGAACTGTGCTTCTGAACTGCAACTGAAGATGGAAGACTAATACAATTCCCAGAGTAAAGACTTAATGGTGAAAACAGCATGGTATTGGCATCAAACCAACACGTAAGACAAAGAAATAGCATAGGGACCCCAGAAATAAATCTACGCATCTATAGTAGCGGTGGCAAACCTATGACACGCACGCTGCAGCAGGCTGTATCATCAAAAGCTCTAAAAGGTTCAACATCATGGATCTACAGCCAAATAAAAGCTTTAAAAGAGGCACAAAAAGCACACACTGGAGAAAGACAGTCTTATCAATAAATGGTGCTGGAAAAACCAGATACCCATATGTAGAAGAATGAAACTCAGACACCCCCCATATATAAAAATCAACTCAAAACATACCAAAGACTTCAAAGCATGAAATGCTAGAAGAAAACATAAGGGAAATACTTCAAGATATCATTCGGCAATGATTTTTTCATGTAAGATCTAAAAAACACGTATAAGATCTCAAGAGCACAGGTATCAAAAGCAAAAGCAGACAAATGGTATTATATCAAACTTAGAAGCTCTTATACAGCAAAGGAAATCAACAAAGAGACAACCCACAGACTGAAGAAAATAATTCATTTACAAATTAATTCACCCAACAAGAGATTAATATCCAGAATATATAAGGCACGCAATAAGAAAAACAAAAAACAAAAAACAAAAAAAAACAAAACACCCTGAGCAGTGGGCAAATGATCTGAATAGATACCTTTCAAGAGGGTTAGACAAATGATCAACAAGAACATGAAAAGATTTTCAGTGTCACTAATCACAGAAGTGCAAATCAAAACCACCCTGAGATATTATCTCACCCCAGTTACAATGACTATTAAGCAAAAAGACAAATAAAATAAAATAAATGAAAAGAACAAAACATGCTAGTGAGGGTGTGGAGAAAGGTGAGCTTCTTACACACTGCTGGTGAGAATGGAAACTCGCACGACCACTATCGAAACAGTATGGAGGTCCCTTAAAAATCCAAAACAGAGCTAATCATATAACCCAGCAGTCCTGCCAGTGAACATGTATCTAAAGGAAATAAAACCAGTATGCTGGACACAGATGGTCACACACACACGATCCTTTTGTATCCAGTCCTAAGTGTGACTCTCAAGAAGCACAGTACACTAGTATCTGCCAAGGGCTGTAGGGAGAAAAACACAGGTGTGGGGTTTCGTCGGCTGGGGGGGGATGACAAAAATGTTCTGGAATAGATGTGACTGATGCACAACTCTGTGAATACACTGAGCAATGAAAATACAACATTTCTTAAAGGGAACACAAATCATCTTTTATGAATGCCTACTGCTTGAATTGCACACTTTGTAAGGATAAATTTTATGGTTTGTGAATTCTATCTTACAAAATAAAACTGGAACACATCTGTGGAGCAGGCATACTCACTATCAATTGGCCCACCCCTTGCATAAATTCTCTCCATGTATATGGACTACATGAATGCTCCAAAGGTTTTAGGTTTTGGAGCATTTCAGTTTTTTATATTAGGAATGTTCAGCTTATAAAGTCCATGCAGATACTCCAAAATTAAAACAAACAAAAAAAGAACAAAATAAACCAAAAAATCCTCTGAAATCTCCAACACTTCTGTTCCACGCATCTGCATAAGGGTTACTTTACCTGTAACGAATACAAAGCTCCCTGCCCACTGCATTTAAGAGGTGGGGCTCAATAATCGCAGCTGTTCTGACACTGAGCTTCCCACATACTTTTTCTTTTTGTCTAATGGATCAATTAAAACTGAATTTCAATGTTTGTCACTATTATGGCATGAATCACCCACCATCTGTAGCAAACTTTCTTTGCCCAAGGTTATAGGGCAAAGTGATTTTCTTTTTTTTACTTAATGTTTTAAAGTATCTGATTCTTCAAGTAAGAAGTCTGCAGGCAAAGAATATCTATACTATCTGGTTCTGGGCAAGGAAAAAATAAAACCCCCAAAACCCTCTGATATACAGAATATAAAAAGATAGCAAAAGAAATTCTTTAGAATGTTTTGCTGAATATCTAGAGAGGTAAATACTGGAAAATAATTTCACTAAGTATTTGTGCAATGTGCTTGCTTGCAGTGCTAGGCCACAACCCAGGCTCTGCACGTTAAGATGTACTTTATAATATGCTCGTTCCAAACCTTGTATTCACATTAATGATACCACAGATTCATTCAAACAAGTCACAACTTGTTCAACACATCTGGGATAGGCAAGAAATTTTCTTTACTTTTTTTTTTCCTTTGGTACCAGGGATCAAACTCAGGACCTTGCGCTTGTCAGGCAGGAGTTTATGCCACTGAGTTATCTCCCTGTCTTTTTTTTTGTTTTGTTTTCTTTTTAGAGATTTTCAGTAAGTGTCTAATTTACTTTTTAGCTACACCAGAGCTATATATAACTATGATTTTGTTCTAGGCGTGGGCAGGCTGAGTCTTCACTCTCATCAAATTCCTTCCTTCTAAAGCCTCCAGCTAACATCGATTCTAAAGTACAAATGGGTCCCTATGCTGACAAGTCAGCCAAGTCTTCTCAGAGTACATGAGCTGTCTTAGAAGAGCACCTGGAAACTGCAATTACAGGAATTCTCATAGGGCTTCAGGTGCAGCCAGTGGCAAAGCATGCGTGAGTCTCAACATTCAACAAACAAACACAAAAATTCCAATTGCATAAAAGCTCAGAAAAACATAAATGTAACAAATTACCTCATAAAATACTTCTACTGCCACTCCCGAGCCCCTGACAACACAGAAAATAACCTTACATGGAGTTCTAGAGATTTCAAACTCAAGTCGGCAAATGCATCTCCAAGCTGCCTCTGAGTGTGCACCATCTGGAAAAGCTGGGTTGATAGCGTCTGAGCCAGTCTCAGGATATTTTCATACTTTTTCTTATTATCTCTTAATATATCAATCTGAGCTTCCAGTTCAAGGTCCACAGTTCTTGAGCCACGGCCTAGCTTCTCAGAGATAATCTGTCGAGTACACTAAAAGTGGAAAAATACACCTTATTTAGAAAAGGAAAAAACAGAACAATAGCAAAAAAGTAATATGCCATTCAAAAAGCAAATGCTAGAGCATATTTCATTCTTTGTCAGCAGTGAGCTAGTTTAACATACTAAAAATCATCAATCAGCTTAGAAGTTCTAATCAGAAGACATTTGAAGACTTATCTAGTCAATTTTTATAATGCTAGATAGATTCTCCCATAATCTTTCAAATTAACTGCATTTAAGTAAGTTAGTTAAAAGAGAAATTTGGGAGGACAGGGAGATAGCTCAGTAGAATGCGTGCTTCTCTGGCAAGCACAAGGGCCTGAGTTCAATCCTTAGTTCCACAAAAAGAGAGGAGGGAGGGAGGGAAGGAGGGAAGGAGGGAGGGAGGGAGAGGGAGAGAGAAATTTGGCATTGTTTTAAAAATATTAAAACTGTTATCTGAGAAATATTTGAAAATATCAAAATTCTATTCCCTTATTGTTTGAAATGTTTTCTAGCTTCCTCTTTAATAGTATGTGTGTGGTAAGAAGGCAGAGTAAAGGGGAGAAAAGGGAGGAAAACAGAGGAAGGGGGTGGGGAGGGTGGCAGGAAAAGAGGGGCAGAGAGGAGGAGAGGAGGGAGGTGAAGGGAGGGAGAGGGAGACAGAAGGCAGGGAAGGAAGAAGGAAGGGCTGTATGAGGAGGGAGGGAGGGGAGATAGGGGTGAGAGGGGGAGAGAGACAGACAGACAGAGACAGAGAGAAACTACTACAGCTTTCTAAACTCCCATTACATAATTTTACTTATGCCCAGATACCTCTCTTACTCTTTTCTGGCAAAGAAGTAATACAGAAATTTATTATTTTTTTAAAGTTTCAGAGCTCTAATTTCAGAGCTCCATATAAAAGTAAGTTTTCTTATTATTAGCATTTTCCTAATTATTAGCATTTCATTATTCAATAGTACATTTCAAGAACAATTATATGGGGGTCAATATATTCATTAAAGGTTATCAAAAATATTCTAAAAAGAAATACATTTTCTATGCTAAATCACTCTGAATTCTGAATTCAGATTTTAAAAAACTTCAAAAACAAAAACAGACCCCTAAAAAAAGATAAAAAAGAGTTCAATATTCACAACTATTTCTGCAGATAAAAATAAATTCTCAATTTACATTTTGCGAAATCAGACAGATGAAAATAATGTGTAAAAAGAAAGGTCCAAGGCCTACATTTAAAATTGTTATATTTTACTTGACTAGTCTTGGGTCCAAAATTGACAATAAATAAATAGTAAATATTTTCTTTGAAGACAGTATTTGCTAAGGAATAAAAACAGAAGAAACTAAAGGAAGAAATCACAACAGAGAGATCAAAGAACCAGATTAAGTTACTCAGGAATAATCTGGACAACAAGCAGTCTTATGTTAACCAAATCAAAACAATAGCTTGCGGCACTGTCCAACGACAATGAATCCCAGTATCAACTACCATCTAGACTGAAAAGGCTCACAATCCAGAAAGTAGAGTCTGTAAGCCCAGCAAGGTGGTCACACTTTGGCAGAGAGGTGTAAGGCAGCCAGCCTGGCCACAAGGCGGCCAGCTCCCTAAAGTCACATAAGTGACTCCTCTTGCGGCCTAGACTGGAATATCCAAACTAAGTTCTGATGGAAACCTACCTCATGGCCAAATGAGGTGATCGCTCGGGACTGCTCTCCCTAGCGCAGCGCTGCAAGGCTGCCCTCTCCCATGAACACAGAAAGGCTGAGTGTGGTATGTGGCATGTCAGAACTGTAAGAGCCAAGCACGGAAGCTTGATCATGATCAACTCAGATGACTGTAAAGGTAAGAAATTGAAGAAAACAAACAGCACAAATGGGAACTAAAAAAGGAATGAGGAAAAAAAAATATAAGAGAAGAAGGTTCAAATGCACAAAGCTTTCATTTTAAAAAGTATGTAATTAATAATTACAAGGATAGGTTCAAAATATAGTTTGTGTTCTTCAAGTCCACAATGTGTGGATGAAGACTATTAACAGGCAAATTTTAACAATTAAATGAATAAAAAGGATGTTAAAGAAATTTAATGAGTAAGTGAATGAAGCCCAGTCAGCTATGAATGATGAGGGAAATGGAGGTGAATTCCAAGCAGTTGGCAAATACCGCCTCATGATCAAAGTCACAGAAACGTGAATGCAGATTACTAATGGAAATCTCTGGGTAATTTGTTATCAGAGCCACAGACAGAAGAGAGAGGGAAGAGTAAGACGCAAAGGTGGAAGACAGACAGGAGTTTTGCTAAAGAAAATACGGATTGGCTGAAAGTCTCTAAAGAAATAGAGACCACATCACACAGGTGCAGACCAAGATAATCTGTAGAGAAGCTGAGTGAGTGGGTGAAGGAGAGGAGAAAGAAAGGGACAGGATGTGTGGCTGTGAAGGCTGGGATTGAGAAGGTGGGAAAGAGAAGCGGGCAGAACCCACAGGATGTGAGGGCCGACAGAATGAGGGATCTGCAGGAGACAGCACACATTGTGAAGGCCTGGTGAGGGGGGAAGCCACTGGGACGGGAGAGAATACACACATCCAAAGACACAAGACTGGGCGAATCCAGCATGAGAAGAAAAGCTTAAGCAAGCTTCGCCTTTTCAAAGATGACCGCTGGCATTTCTTAGGCTCAACACTCACATGAACTAAGTAATGTATGGAATGACTCATATTTCAGGACACATTTACCATTTTAAGTAAACTTATTTGGTGAAGGATTTCAGAAAATATTTTTTTTAAATACTCATTGAAGGAATAAATTCACTCTATGTGACTCTTAAGACACATTTGAGACCTGCTGTGTATGAACCAGTGCACAACCTGATTTGCCAGCCACTAGGCCCACCACCAACGCAAATACCCAGAACTGTGGCTCATGTGTGACCCGCACTGCCACACACGCACCGTATTCTCCAGGTCTACTGCCTCCTCCCTAGTAAGATTCGAAGGTATTAAGTAGATTTGGGACTCTGGCTGTTCATAACACATAGATTAAATAACTTGCTTAGTTGTTTCATGGCAAATAATTATGAAATAGGGAAAATAACCACCAATTACTCTGAAGCAATACACTAAAAATGTCAACAAATTTTAAAAACTCAATTCATTTATAATCTGGCATTGTCTGTGCAGTTAATATTTAGCTATCACAAGAAGACCAAAGCACTTGAAACTTTGGAGAACTAATCCACCTCTCCTGACCTGTAATTGTTAGGTCAAGTTGTTATAAAGTACCTTTTTAGAGGCCCCTGCTGGTAGCTTATGCCTATAGTCCCAGCTGCTCAGGAGGCTGAGGCAAGAGGATGATCACCTGAGCCCAGGCATTCAAGACCAGCCTGGGCAACACAGTAGGGCGCGCTTCTTGCATGCTCTCTCCTCGCCCCCTCCCTCTCCCTATCCCCTCTCCTCCCCCACCTTTGCAGTACCAGGCAACTAGGGACGATGGGCTTGCCAGGCAGATGTTTATGCTACTGAGCTATCTCCCGAGCCCAAGACCTTGTGTCTTAAAATGAAAAATACAGTATTAAAAAAAAGCAGACTGAGTGACACAACCCGGGCCCACAGATCCTGAATAGACCCAGAGCGCAGGCCGGGTGCATGAGGTGAGAAGACCGAGGGCGCCGATCCTGAATAGACCCAGAGCGCAGGCCCTGCGCGTGAGGTGAGAAGACCCAGGACCACCGGATCCTGAATAGACCCAGAGCGCAGGCCCAGTGAGTTAGTGAGACCTCCCGGAGCTGCTGGATCCTGAATAGACTCAGAGCACAGGCCCGGTGCATGAGAGTGCAGGTCCAGCATGGAACCCTTCAGCAGAACTCCCTGCAAAGAGGCTAGAGACAAGACTCACCCAGCTGATAGGAACAGAACATCTTGCCAGAGTGACACAAAGGGCTCAACTCTAATGGCTGCAGCAGAAAGAAGTGGAGCACAGCAGCCAGATCCAAGCAACACCCACCTGGAGGAATCTGAACTTCGTAGATCTGGACCTGGTGCTAAGGTAATAACTCTATCTAAGCTCTACACCAAAGGTCAAAAGACAGTATACAAAATGTATACAAAATGACAAAGAGAAGGAATAAAATGCAGTCTCAGGCCCCAAGTCTAACCAGTACAAATGCAGAAGACACTAGCATTGTGGAAAGTGGAAATCAAACACCAGACACCTCTGAAATAAAAGTGTCGGCAGTAAAGAA